TGTGTTGTGTTATACTGTCTGCAGGTTCAGTAGGTCTCTCTCTCTCTCTCTCCTCTCTCTCTCTCTCTCTCATCCTCTCTCTCTCCTCTCTCTCTCCCTCATCTCTCTCTCCTCTCTCTCTCTCTCTCCTCTCTCTCTCTCTCTCTCTCTCTCTCTCTCTCTCTCTCTCTCTCTCTCTCTCTCTGGACAATATGTACTCATGCCTGCTGAAATAGAACGCACCGGCACTCACAGCACTGCAATGTGTGTGTGTGTTATTCTCCATGGCCAGCACAGAATGGGACCTTTAATTGCCATGGTCACTGTCCTCTGCTCTGAGCTAACGTGAAAGCTGCAATGTGTGTGGTTCTGCACTACTGTGCAGACATGAAAGCTGCAGTGTGTGTGGTGTGTGTGAGTGTGCGTGTGCACGCACCTATGTGCTGGTGTGTGTGTGTGGTGCGGACATGAAAGCTAGCTGCAGTGTGCAAAAGTGGAGAATGGAGGATGCAGCTGGCCAGTGAACCGGCTCCTGTGATAGAACACAGTGGGAACACCTACTAATTGCACTGGTGTGGTGCTTTCTCTCCCCCCAATCCTCTGCAGTCTCTCTCTTTCTATTTCTCTCCCTCCCTCCCTCTTTCTATATCTGAATCGCTCTCCCTCCCTCTCTCTCCCTTTGCCTCTCAGTATTCTCTTTCTCTTCTGTCGCTCTCTATATTCTCTCTCTTTCTCTCTCTCTATCTGTAGTCTGTCTTTCTTTCTCATTCTCTCGCTCTGTTTTCCCTCCTCTTTCTATCTCTGAGTCTCTCTGTTTTCTCTCCTCTTTCTATCTCTGAGTCTCTCTGTTTTCTCTCCTCTTTCTATCTCTGAGTCTCTCTGTTTTCTCTCCTCTTTCTATCTCTGAGTCTCTCTGTTTTCTCTCCTCTTATCTCTGAGTCTCTGTTTTCTCTCCTCTTTCTATCTCTGAGTCTCTCTGTTTTCCCCTTTTCTATCTCTGTCTCTCGTTTCTCTCCTCTTTCTATCTCTGTGTCTCTCTGTTTTCTCTCCTCTTCTATCTCTGAGTTCTCTGTTTTTCTCTCTCTTTCTATCTCTAGTCTCTCTGTTTTCTCTCCTCTTTCTATCTCTGAGTCTCTCTGTTTTCTCTCCTCTTTCTATCTCTGAGTCTCTCTGTTTTCTCTCCTCTTTCTATCTCTGATCTCTTGTGTAATGTCCTCACTCTCCTTCTCCATCCGCAGACCTCCTCCTCTGTTTTCTCCTACTTTTTCTATCTCTTGAGTTTCTTTTTCATTCCTTTCCTCTGTCTTTTTTCCTGAGTCTCTCTGTCTTTCTGCTCCTGCTTGTCTGTGTCCTGTGTGTATATGGCATGCCCCTTTTGTTCCAATCCGAGAACCTACTGGTGTGTGTGTTATGTGTTGTGAGTGTGTTGTGTGTTTGTGAACATTCACATGTTCATATGTTTTTGTGTGAGTTTGCGCAATATGTGCCTGTTGTGTGTGTGTGTGTGCATGCCTGTGCCTATCTCGTGTTGGGTGGTGTGTGTGTGGGCTGTGTGTGCAGCGGTTCTGCAATGGCTCTCTGTGCCCAGTGGAGATTGCTGCCGTTCCCTCACCTCCCTCCCCTCCCTCCCCCCTCCCTCCCCTCCCTTCCCCTCCCTCCCTCCCTCCCTCCATCCTTTCCTTCCTCCTTTCCTCCTTTCCTCCCTCCATCCCTCCTTTCCTCCCTCCTTTCTTCCCTCCATCCCTCCTTTCCTCCCTCCCTCCATCCTGCTGGTGTCTGTGTCTGTTTTGTAGAACAGTGAGAGGAGGAGAGCAGAGGAACAGAGAACAGAGGCAGAGTTCCATGGAGACCTGGGTGGGGGTGGTTGTGCCTGGGACTGTGTCTGTGTATCTCTACTGCTCTCTGATTAGGCTGCTCAGCCTGCTAAATTAGCATCGCACAGACCCACCAGCCTCCCTCTCTCTCTCCCTCTCGCTCCCTCTTTCTCTCTCTCTATCCCTCTCTCTCTGTCTTTCTCTTCTCTCTCTCTCTTCTCTCTCTCTCTCTCTCTCTCTCTCTGTGCTTCTATATGTGGGAGGTGAAGAGATGAGGGAGGGGGAGGGGGATAGTATACAGGGACAGGAAAGGAGAGAAGAGAGAGAGGGAGAGAGAGGAGAGGAGTGAAGGAGAGCGCAGAGGGAAGGGGGCAGGGATGGAGAGTGTGAGAGAGGGAGAGAGCGAGGGGAAGGCAGGGAGTGAAGATAGGAGAGGAGAGTGTGAGAGAGGGAGGGAGGGAGTGAGGGGAAGGCAGGGGTTGGGCGGGATGCTTTTTTGATCAGCAGCCAGATTTTCATCCCTGTCTGTCAGTCTGCACAAAGGAGAGGAGAGAGGGATGGGGAGAAGAGAGGAGGGAGGGAGGGAGGGAGGGGAGAGGAGAGGAGAGGAGAGAGAAAGGGAGAGGAGAGGGGTAAGGAGAGAGGAGATGAGAGAGAGGCTGCTGCTTCAATGCACCGCTGCTCCCTGCTGAATGTCAGTACCCCTCTCTCTCCCCTCTCCCTCCAACCCCCTCTTCCCTCCCGCCATCATTGTCTTTCCTCCAGGGTGCAGTGTGGTGAAACGGCCACCAGATGGCGCCTCCCATAAAGCAAACTGCGGCCTTGGAAATCCAAACAAAACAGGAAGAGTGGGCTGCTACTGTCATCACACAACCACTTTCAGTCATAACAATGTACAGCGTGGCTGGCTGACTAATGTTTTCAGAGAGGTGCAGTGTGAGAGGTAGCTAGTGGGATAAAGTGTAGGATGATTTGCCATTTTGTCAAGGTCATTCGTAGGACTACCTGTACAGTCACATTCCACTACAATAACATTCTTCTTCCTATGCATAGAATGTGTTTGTCATAGATTAGAACATTCGGTGCCGTCATGGATAATAGTTTGCCGAACTCTGTCAATCCAGTTTGAGTTGGATTTATATCCTATGTCTGCTTCCGTTTTAGCTTGGTGCTGACCGGTCTTTTAGAGTCTGTGTTTAGTGATGGGAGGGAATCGACAGACTGACCTCCAGCCTTGCAGAACGCTGTGTGAGACCAATCAGTGTTCAGTGTTCAGGTGACGTTAATAGTGGTGTTAGTGTTAGCGGACTGGCCAGTCAATAGTGCTCAGCGCTAGGCAGAGATGCCTGATAGGCTGTTACCACGGGAGACGTAGAGATACACGACCTTGGTTACACAAATCCTCTGTCTGTGTCTGACTCTCTCTCTGTCCATTTATGTGTGTGTGTGTCTGTCTGTTTGGGTGTGTGTGTGTGTGTGTGTGTGTGTCTCTCTGTCTGTTTGTGTGTGTGTGTGTGTGAATGTCTCTCTCTTTCTCTCTCTCCCTCCTACTCTCTGTCACTGGTCACTATATATCATTCTCTGTCTGTCTGTCTGTCTGTCTGTCTGTCTGTCTGTCTGTCTGTCTGTCTGTCTGTCTGTCTGTCTGTCTGTCTGTCTGTCTGTCTGTCTGTCTGTCTGTCTGTCTGTCTGTCTGTCTGTCTGTCTTCTGTCAAAACTGAAATTGAATGTATGAATTGTAAAATCACAATATTTTAAATTCCTCACCAGAGGGGATAGAGAGATGGGAGTCTTGGATTATAGGAATGTTTACGGATATCAAGGTATTTCCTTTGCCCTTTTGCATGTGTACAGACGGATTCTGTTAATTTGCTTACCTCGTGTTTCGGACATTTCAGTGAAAAGTTGTCCTCTTGGAACATGCAGCCTGAGAGAGAGAGAACGAGAGAGAAGGAAGGAGAGAGAGATATAGAGAGGGAGAGAGGGTAGTAGGGAAAGAATGATAGGATGAGGCAGGTTGCAGCCATGGTGCACTCTGCAGGATTAAACTGGCCCCTCAGCTCCTCCCAGTGCTGCCTCTGCAGACGTGTGAGGGCTTCTAATCCCCACTGTATCTACTGATGGCGTGAGGTAATACCTACATACAGCATATGCTTATACACAAATGAACACACGCACGCACGCACACACACACACACACACACGCTCCCCCACCATCCCCCTCATCCATCCTCCCCTTAATCCTCCGCTACTCCCTACCCCCTCAACACTCTACAACCCACCATCCCTCTCCTCCTCTATCTCCTCTCTACTCTAACCCCATCTCCACTCCTCTCGCCGCTCTCTCTCTGCCGCTCGTCTCTCTCTCCCGCCTCTCCTCCCTCGCCTCCTCCCCTCATCCGCTCTCCTCTCCGCGCTCTCTCATCTCTCTCTTTCCTCTCCCTCTCTCCCTCTCTTCATCTCATCGCTCCCGCTTCCTCTCTCTCTCTATCTCTCTCTTTCTGAGGGCTCTTACCTATCTCCTTGGCGCAGATGTAGTGGTATTTGTGAGGGCAGCCTTTCCAGCAGCAGCTGATGGACGCACCCACTCTCTGGCACTTGGAGCAGCTCTGGAGACCAGACAGACAAACAGAGAGAGAGACAGACAGAGGGACAGACAGCCAGACAGACAGACAGAGAGACATAGAGACATATGTACAGAGAGACAGACAGACAGCAGACAGGCAGACAGTCAGTTAATAATAAAGCATACACTTGCTGTTGCCAACAATATGTCACTGTGGCCAACATGTCACTGTGGCCAACATGTCACTGTGGCCAACATGTCACTGTGGCCAATATGTCACTGTGGCCAATATGCCACTGTGTCCAATATGTCACTATGTCCAACATGTCACTGTGGCCAACATGTCACTGTGGCCAACATGTCACTGTGGCCAACATGTCTCTGTGGCCAACATGTCACTGTAGCCAACATGTCTCTGTGGCCAACATGTCACTGTGGCCAACATGTCACTGTGGCCAATATGCCACTGTGGCCAACATGCACAGTTCCCTACAAAATAGATTAGCACAAGGCAAATGTTTTTCTTTTTTGTGATCAATTTTTTATTTATTTCATTTCATAGTAATGTAAAACCCCAGGGAGGACAGTCATTCCTTTCTGACTGTGAGAGGCTAGAATTATAGATCGGAATCATGTGGAGTTTACTGTATGTGAAATACAGCACTTCAAATATTGACTCTCCATTGGTAAGATGCAGTATCAGTATCAACTGGAGAGAGAGAGGGGGAAAGAGAGAGAGAGAGAGAGAGCGAGAAAGAAAGAAAGAAAAAGAGAGAAATCAGCATAGAGAAAGAGGAAGGTCTCACCGTTTCTGTGGAAGTGTGAACAGCCTCTTTCAGGCCGTACAGCCTCCCGGCCACCATGATGACCCCATTGGTCCAGATAGCACAGTTCTCATGGGCCCAGTGTTCCTTAGCCTCAGCCTCCCCCTGCAGTCTCTGGAGCAGGCCTCCTCCTCCACTGATCCCCTCCTGACCACTAGCTGTGGCCTCCGCAGCCCTCCTCTCCTCCTGGAGCTGCTGCATCCTCCTGAACCTATCCCGTAGGGTGGGCCGGTGCGTGCTTCCGCCCTCCGCAGGTGCCCTCTCTGCCCTCCTGGGGCGCCAGTGGTGGGGGTGGGGCTGATGATGGTGACCCCCACCACTAGTACTACTACTGCCCTCCTTTGTGACTGTCTCCATATCCCCCTTTTTACTGCCTTCCTTTTCGGAGCTGGGGTCTCCTTCGCTTTTTGGGGTGCTGCTGCTTGGTTCCTCGATGCTACTGTTGGAGCTTGTTGTTTTCTCTTGGTTTTCCCTCGGGGGTTCTATATGTCTTGCTGACAGGATTTTGCGAGGGATGCTATCCTCTGGGTAGTAGGGCCCACACAAATCCCCCAGCTCACGGTAATTTGCCGGCTTTCCACACAGGCAACACGTTAGACACCTGTCAATTAAGGTTTTGTTAACCAAGGGCCCCTGGAGCAAAGCTGAGGAGATGGGTATCGCCTTGGCAACCGTGACTGGGTTTTTAATTTTGTCCGAGCTCTTTTTCCGGGGCTTCTGAAACACCATCTTCAGCTCTTCATTGCGCCTGTTTACGATGGTACAGAGAGAGGCGAAGTCTCTGGAGCTGTCGATACGCACATATGGACAGAAGGAATGTTTGATTCCGCTTTTGGGGGTTTTGCTCAGTACCTGTTTGAGAGAGGGCTCCAGCTGCTTTTCCTCTGACACTGCAGGACTCTCCTTTTTTGATTTCTTTTTCTTGAGTCTGGCCTCCCTCCCTGCAGCCTTCACCACTGCTTCAATCACTTCCATGGCGTCTTTGATTCCCTTTTTAGGACCAGGTTTTTTGTGCACCTTCAGAGGTTTGCTTCTCTGCTGTTCACCTGGGGCTCTGCCTCTCCCTCTCTTTTTGGACGGGATGAAGAGGGCTTCCTCCCTCGTTTGGAGGGAGGCAGCTGGATAATTTCTGTGGCGATCACCTGCGGGCTGTCTGTGATCTCACCTGGGCCGGCTGGTAGATCGGGCATTGTTGTTAATGTTGTGTCAGTGGGTGTCTGTGCCTCTGTCTCTGTCTGTTGTTCTCCTGTTGTTGTCCCTACCTTCTCGTCAGCCACAGGCCCCTCTGAGGGAGGCTGTCCTCCTTTCCTCTTCCTCCTCTGTTTCAGGTGCATCTCGTGGTTGTTCTTGATGGCCCTCTGCTTGGCCAGCCGCGGCGTGTTGATGATCAGGCTTCCCGTCTCCATGGCGACCACCGTGGCGTCCGTGCTCTCCACCATGGCCCATTTCCTCCTCTTGGTCCTGGTGGGTTTGTTGGCATCGCTCGCCGCTGCAGCGTCTGGCACCCCCGCTGGGAGTGACTCCGGCTGCACCCCCTCCCCGGTGTTCTGCTGCACCCCTCCCTCCTGTTCTGTGTTCTGGACCCCCGTGGAGCTCCACTCATCCCCTGCTACCTCCTCCCGTGTCACCTCAGGGGCGCTCACCACCGCCACTGGGGCCTCGCTCTCCTCCGAGATGGACAGCGACACAGGCTTTGATGTCACTTCCTCCACTATCGCCTCTGTGCTCTCGGGCTGTGGTGTTGGCAGGTGTTTCTTCGAACCAGTGCCCAAGTTTATTTTCTGAACCATGGCCTCGTATTTCAGACCCCTGCCTTTGCGCGGGGGGAGGTACTTGGTTTTAGTGGGACACTGAGAAGGGACACTGGGCATTTCACTAACCACATCACAGTCAGTCATCGTGAGAGGAGGGTTATCTTTGGTCAGCACAGTGATCAGAGAGGCCTTGAGGTGTCTGCCTCGCTTTAGCCTCCTCTTGGGGCCTCGGACACCCATCTCCTTGGGTTTGACTAATGGAGGCTGGTTGGCCTGGTTGGACTGGTTGGACTGGTTGGCCTGGTTGGACTGGTTGGACTGGTCAGACTGGGGAGTTTCAGGCTGTGGCTGTTGTGGTTGTGGTTTTGGTTTTGGTTTTGGACCTCGCTTTTTCTTCACTGGAGGTTCTAGAGGCAGAGGACTGGGTTTTCTTTTGAGTGGAGGTACAGGTGCAGTTATAGGAGGTACAGCTACAGTCGGTTCTTTAGGTTTCTCAGGTGGAGCGACAGGTATACTGGTGTCTGTTTTACTGGTGTCGGTTACACTGGTGTCTGTTACACTGGTGTCGGTTACACTGGTGTCTGTTACACTGGTGTCTATTTTACTGGTGTCTATTACACTGGTGTCTATTTTACTGGTGTCTGTTACACTGGTGTCTTTTACACTGGTGTCTGTTACACTGGTGTCTATTTTACTGATGTATGTTACACTGGTGTCGGTTTTACTGGTGTCTGTTACACTGGTGTCTGTCTGGTTAGGAAAGACAGGGAGGGCTTGCTCTATGCTCGTACGTTCCTCATTTTCTAACACTGCATTGGGCTTTGTTATACCTGTCAGGGTTTGAGTTAGGATTCCCTCAGATTGCTCCTTCTCTTTCTGGGGGGGCTTTCTGGATCTCAGGACCATGTTCTTTCCATCCTTGCCTGGAGCTTTCACTTCCTGGTTCCCATCACCTTGCTGACTGTTGATGCTCAAGCTCTTCTGGCCTCTTCCTGGACCCCCTGTGATGGGTTGAATGGGACCTTCCTGTTGTGCCAACTTCAACTTAGAGCCTGTGCCCCTGGGACGACCACGGGGTGCTCCTTCAGTTGGTTTTGGACCTGGTTTTGGTCCTGGTTTTGGACCCGGTTTAGGCCCTGGTTTTAGACCTGGTTTTGGGCCTGGTTTAGGCCCCGGTTTTAAACCTGGTTTTGGGCCGGGCTTCGAACCGGGCTTCATACCTGGTTTTGGTCCTGGTTTTAGACTCGGCTTTGGACCTAGTTTTGGTCCTGGTTTTAGTCCTGGTTTAGGCCCTGGTTTTAACCCTGACTTCAGTCCCGGTTTTGGGCCTGGTTTCGAACCTGGTTTTCCGCCCTGGTTTCCGTCTCTCAGGGGGCTGGGGATCCTTAGGGGTTGTGTCCTGCGTGTTGAACGAGCGAGTGCACATTCTGGAGCGGGAGCCCTCAACCAGCAGTTTGGGTGTCTCGCTCGTCATGATTATGTCCTGGTGAGCGGCCATGTCTATCTGATCGGAGAACAGAGGACTCTTGCTGGAGGGCATGCAGGGTTTCTGGGGGGGTGAAGAGGCACTCTCCCCCTCTCTCTCCACACTCAGCTGTCTCCTGAATTCCACACCTGAGTGCATCAGTCTCCTCCTGCCTCGGCCGTGCTTCCGGCCGAAAGCCTGCGGGTGTGCAGATGGGGCCACGGGTTTCCGGCTTGGCTGAGGGGGTCACAGCGCTTGGGCAGCTGATGCCCAGCTCCATGTCCTCATCACCTTTCTTTGGCGAGGGTGGGGTGTTGGCCCAGGAGGGCGCTGAGTGCAGTATCGACTTCCCTGGCAGCTGAGGGGAGTCAGGCTCCAGCACGTTGGAATCGCTGCGATCGATATGGTCCCTGGTGTGAGCCGGAGCTGGAGGTGTTGCTATCTCACTGAGAGCTGAGAAAACCATCATGGCCGAGTGAGACTGGGGTGGAGTGTCACAAATGGCTGACCCCATTTCTGGGGATTCTGCTGCTGCTGCTGTTGGGTCTGTTTGTGCTGCTTGGGTTTCTGTCTCTGCAGGCTCTGTGTTACGGTAAGGCTGAGCCAGGCTCTGGCCTTCTGTTCTGCTGCACAGCTCTCCAGAAGGCTCCTTCTGTGGGCTCGTTCTATTGTTGAGGACCTCCTCAGTCGATGGCAGGCTCTCACTCTCTTCTCCCTCTCTCTCCTCAGTAGACAGAGGAGGAGATATAGAGTCCTGCTGCCTCTCCTCCTCCCCCTCCTCATCCCCTCCTCTTCTTCTTCTCTGCTCTCTCTCTTCTCTGAGGCAGAGAGCCTCTCATCCAAAGCCTTGCCCCGGGGGGTAGGGGATATGTTCTCAGAGCTGTCTTCCTTCTCTGTTAAATATTGATTTTGGTCAAGATCACCCCTGGAAATAAAGGGTGATGTTTTCACTGAGCTCTCAGAGTCGGTGGGAGATTCGGATTTGAAGGCCTCCGATTTCATCTCCTGGCCCAGGTCTCCCTTGTGGCTGGAGTCTGAGAGGCTTGGGGACTTATCCGCCGAGTCCCCTTTGCCTCTGTCATATTTGTTTTGTATCTCATGGTACATGTTCTCGTTGCAGCAGTAGCTCTTTCCCTCGGTCACTGCTTTGTTGATCTTGCTATACAGAGCTGGGCCTTTCTCGTCCTCCGGCCATTTCTCCTGCTTCTCGGAGGTGTCTGTGACATCATCGCCGCCTCTGCAGTCACGCTCGCTGTCGGGAGTCTTTTTCATGCCATCGTCCTCGTAGTCTGCCATTTTCTCCGTCCAGGCCAACTCCTCAAAGTTCTCCTTCAGTGGCATGCCGAGACGTTGGATATCTGGAGGGGACTGGCTCTCCTGTTTCATGGGGCTGGGGACCGTCACACTCAGGGGGGACCTCTCGTCACCCACGCTCTTCATGGGGGTTTGTGGGGGGTCGTGACCACCCTGTGACCTGGGGTCAGGGGTCAGGTTGTCCCTGGAAGCCACGCTCTGCAGGCCGGACACAGAGTCACCAGACCGGGTGGACATGTCGTCCGGAGAGGTCATGGAGCAGGATGAGGCCGTGTCCAGGCCCAGGTGTGTGTTGTTGGGGGCCTGAGCTGGGCTCCTGCCCTGGCCGCAGTAGTAGTACCCCCTCTCCAGCTGCTCGTCAGAACTACTGGAGTATCCCCCCTCCTGCATCTCCATGGGGACGAGCTGGTGCTGGTTGGTGCTGTAGGGGTCCTGCATGGGGCCCCCACCGTGCTGACCCTCGGGGCCTCCTGGCACTCCCTTGTACTCCTCTTCCTTCTTGGAGGAGCCGCCTCCACTGCTCCCAGTGCTATTGCTGCTGTTGCGCTTGCCCCCCTTTTTGTTGGCGACCATGGCCTCGGAGAGCAATAGCTGCTGCACGTTGTTGGAGATGTTCTCCACCTGAGAGGTGAGGGCATTCAGGCTCCACAGGCTGGGGTTGGCAAGCAGCTTCTCAGAGAAGCGCTCCTTCATGGAGACCCCCTGCGTGTAGCTGTGCTGCGGGGTTGGGTGGGCCACGTTGGGGGACGGGGACGGGTGGGAGCGCGGCGGCATCAGCAAGCCCTGGTCCTGCAGACCCGCTGAGGAAGAGGAGGAAGAAGAAGCCGCCCCTGGGGTCATTGGTGGCTGGCTGTACTGGAAGCTCTCTGGATTGGTCATCAGAGGGGAAGGGGTGGAGCTGTAGGAGGGTGAGCGTCCTACGGAGCGTGCAGGGGAGTGGCTGGAGGCGGGACTACATGTCTGGTAGTACTGCTCAGGGGATCTGACGGACAGCTCGGACAGACAGTAGTTCTGCTGGGGCTGGCTGAAATGTTGGTATTTAAGGTGGGCCTCCTGGGAAGTGGGCATACCTTGTAGTGGGGGCTGGGACTCGTAGCCACCCCTGGAGGGAGTCTGTTGGTAGCTGTAACTGTTCTGGGGTGGCGGTCGGTATCCCCCCTGCTTCAGACTGCTGTGGCTGCCCATCTGCCTAGCGTACTGGGAGCTGGGTGGCATACTATATCCCTTGTAGCAGTGGGGCATGGGGCTGCACTTCTCCATGTAGGAGGAGGAGGAGGGCGAGGGGGACGGGGGGATGCTGGGGGTAGTGGAGGTGGCTCTGGGGGTACATCAATGGGGACTGGCCTGGGTTTGGGGGATGGGGTTGGTGGTGTGGGCTGGTGTAGACTGGAGCAGAGGCCTGGTGGGGCTGGTGACACTGGCTCTGGGAGTGAGCCAGCATGTTCTGGTCCAGATACTGGGAGGACCCAGGGGGACCCGGCTCCATCCTGCCTACCATCTCCTGCTCGTACTGAGCTAGCTGAGCTGGGTCGTCCCACTTAGACTGCTGGAGGTGGCCCTCGCTCATATACTGGGCCGGGTATCCCCCCGGGCCCATGTGATTGCTGTAGCCGCCCGCCTGCATATGCTGGGGAGGTGGAGGAGGCACTTGGCTCCCCCCACTGTAAGCCTTCTTATCATGAGGCGTCGAACCTCCTCCACCACCCACACCACCACCACCACCCACACCACCTCCATTGCCTTGGGGGTATCCAGGGTATGCCTGCTGGCTGTAACAATCCTTAGGTCCAGGAATGGGTCCACTTCCAGATCCAGGTCCGGCCCCTGATCCCGCTGGGGGCATCCCTGTAGCGGTGGCCAGGGCGTGTGCCTCGTAGACCTGTCTGGTCTGTCCGTGGTGGGGGTGCTGTCGGTAGCTCTCCAGGCGTGATAATTCATGGTGCTCCTGCTGGTAGCAGGGCTGGTTGCCGTGGAAACCGCTCCTCTCTCTGCTGAACGACTGCATGGCTCCAGCTATAGGAGGGGCTTGGGGAGGGAGGGGGTCGGGGGTGGGGGGGTTCTGATAGAGAGAGAGCGGGGGGAGAGAGAGATGAGAGGAAGGAGGGGGGAAAGAGGGGGAGGGAAAGAAAAACAAAACAGAGAGAAGGAGGGGGTGTTAGTATCACAGAGCCAAGACGTTACATCTCTACCTTCACATCTCTAACCCTGACATCCTTCATCTCACCAGGAAAGATCAGAGACACAACAACAAAGTCTTGCCTTTCTGAGATCAATTGACTAAAATAAATGCTTGATTTGAATTCACAATTAATGTTACTGTACACACCTGTACAGCTGCACTGTAAATACATTAAAATTATACATTTTCCCTTGACAGATTCTAAGCAAAGGACATATCCTCTGGGCAAGAAAAGATGGACTCTGGACTCTGGACAGGGAACAGAGAACAAGCTAGAGTACAGCGGCCATTTCAAACATCTCAAGATGGAGGGAGCTAGCCCGTTGTTGCCGGAGCTGGGATTGTCAGGTCATGCAGGAGGCAGTGTGAGTTAGACAGCCATGTCTGTTACTGTGAGCCCCCGTCCAAACCAAGCCCGCCACGCAAGGACACGACCTCTGGAGAGGAAACCAGTATAGATGGGGCAACCACACAATGGGTGTGATGAATAGGTGAGGTGTTAAGAGATAACGGTCGATTGAGATGTTCTGTGAACGAATCCTGTCAATGTCATTCCGCATGAAAAATCTAATCGGAATGTTCCCTATCGTGAAGGCTATTGTTACTCAATATTTACTTGCAATATGCAAGCACTTGTTTTAGTATCACATGACTGCTATTAGTCAAAAGTGAGAAATCACAAAACAACATAAACAAAAAACGATTAGAATTTAACTGTAAATATTGCGCTTGAAAATGTTTCAAAAGATAAAGACATTTCAAGTGTTATATCATCAGCTATGAACAGTGTTTTAGCAATGTGCAAATAGTTGTAGTATGAATAGTAGGGGAAGACAAATAAACAGATAAATATAGGTTGTATTTACAACATTGTTTGTGCTCCGCTGGTTGCCCTTTTCTCATGGCAACGGGCCACAAATCTTGCTGCTGTGATTGCACACTGCAGTATTTCGCCTAACAGATATGGGAGTTCATCAATGTTTGATTTGTTTATCAAATTCTTTGTGGGTCTGTGTAATCTGTGGGAAATATGTATTTCTAACGTTGTCATACATTTGGCAGGAGGTTAGGAAGTGCAGCTCAGTTTCCACCTCATTTTGTGGTCGGTGGGCACACAGCCTGTCTCTCTCTCTCAAAAGAATGGGCTATACTACATGAATAGACAACGCAGGATGAGAGCAGCATACAATGCTCCTCCATTACTGTAGCACATCTCTAGCAGCTCAACCTAGACCTCATTCTCTCCTCTCTTCTCTCTGTCCCTCCTCCTCCCCTCTCCTCTCTTCTCTCTGTCCCTCCTCCTCCTCCCCCTCTCCTCTCTTCTCTCTGTCCCTCCTCCTCCCCTCTCCTCTCTTCTCTCTGTCCCCCCTCCTGTTCTCCTCTCTTCTCTCTGTCCCTCCTCCTCCCCCTCTCCTCTCTTCTCTCTGTCCCTCCTCCTCCTCCCCCTCTCCTCTCTTCTCTCTGTCCCTCCTCCTCTTCTCCTCTCTTCTCTCTGTCCCTCCTCCTCCCCCTCTCCTCTCTTCTCTCTGTCCCTCCTCCTCCCCCTCTCCTCTCTTCTCTCTTTCCCTCCTCCTCTTCTCCTCTCTTCTCTCTTTCCCTCCTCCTCTTCTCCTCTCTTCTCTCTGTCCTTCCTCCTCTTCTCCTCTCTACTCTCTGTCCCTCCTCCTCTTCTCCTCTCTTCTCTCTGTCCCTCCTCCTCCTCTTCTCCTCTCTTCTCTCTGTCCCTCCTCCTCTTCTCCTCTCTTCTCTCTGTCCCTCCTCCTCTTCTCCTCTCTTCTCTCTTTCCCTTCTCCTCTCTTCTCTCTTTCCCTCCTCCTCTTCTCCTCGCTTCTCTCTTTCCCTCCTCCCCCTCTCCTCTCTTCTCTCTGTCCCTCATCCTCTTCTCCTCTCTTCTCTCTTTCCCTCCTCCTCCTCCTCCTCCTCTCCTCTCTTCTCTAAGAGGAGGGATGTGTTCTACACAGAGGAGGGAGGGGGTGAGGAGGGGGAAGGAGCTCTATAAAGGGAACAGAGTCACCTGGAGACAGTGCAGTGTGTCGGGCTGTTCCAGCTCTGCACCCCGCGCTCAGCCCCCCGCTCCAGGGACAGTGACGTGTCCCACCAGACAGACAACAGCATTATTCATCTCTGCACCGCAACTGTTTGTGTAGTGTGTGTGTGTGTTTATGTGTGTGTGTGAATGTTCATGCATGTGTGTGTGTTTGTGAGTGCGTGTGTGTGCAGCTCTGAGCACAGCTCATCAAACAGAGGCACAAACAGCTTCCCGGGAGACTCCACACATGGTCTCCCCCCATCCCCTGCAACTAGCTGTGTGTGTGTGTGTGGTGTGTGTGTGTGTGTGGTGTGTGTGGTGTGTGTGTGTGTGTGTGTGTGTGTGTGTGAAGACAAGGAGGTCTACTCAGGCGCTCACAATTTAGGGGTGTAAGATCTGTCACTGTAGCACAATGTAACACAATGACCCCACAGGCGTGTTTTTGTGCTTGGGCGC